GAGTGAGTGAGTGAGTGTGTGTGTGTGTGTGAGTGTGTGTGTGAGAGTGAGCGAGAAAGCAAGTGTGAGTGCGTGCGTGTGTGTGTGAGTGTGAGTGAGTGAGTGTGTGTGTGAGTGAGTGAGAGAGTGTGTGTGTGAGCGAGCGACAGCTTGAGTGTGTGTGTGTGAGTGTGTAAGAGTGTGTAAGAGTGTGTAAGAGTGTGTAAGAGTGTGTAAGAGTGTGTAAGAGTGTGTAAGAGTGTGTAAGAGTGTGTAAGAGTGTGTAAGAGTGTGTAAGAGTGTGTAAGAGTGTGTAAGAGTGTGTAAGAGTGTGTAAGAGTGTGTAAGAGTGTGTAAGAGTGTGTAAGAGTGTGTAAGAGTGTGTAAGAGTGTGTAAGAGTGTGTAAGAGTGTGTAAGAGTGTGTAAGAGTGTGTAAGAGTGTGTAAGAGTGTGTAAGAGTGTGTAAGAGTGTGTAAGAGTGTGTAAGAGTGTGTAAGAGTGTGTAAGAGTGTGTAAGAGTGTGTAAGAGTGTGTAAGAGTGTGTAAGAGTGTGTAAGAGTGTGTAAGAGTGTGTAAGAGTGTGTAAGAGTGTGTAAGAGTGTGTAAGAGTGTGTAAGAGTGTGTAAGAGTGTGTGAGTGAGTGTGTGAGTGTGTGTGTGAGTGTGTGTGAGAGTGTGTGTGAGAGTGAGTGTGTGTGAGTGAGAGAGTGTGAGCGAGCGACAGCTTGAGTGTGTGTGTGTGTGTGTGTGTAAGAGTGTGTGAGTGTGTGTGTGAGAGTGAGCGAGAAAGCGAGTGCGTGTGAGTGCGTGCGTGTGTGTATGTGAGCGAGTGACAGCTTGAGTGTGAGTGAGTGAGCGTGTGAGCGAGAGTGTGAGTGTGTGTGTGTGTGTGTGTGTGTGTGTGTGTGTGTGTGTGTGTGTGTGTGTGTGAGTGAGTGAGTGAGAGTGTGTGAGTGAGTGTGTGTGTAAGAGTGTGTGAGTGAGTGTGCAGATTGTGGTTAAACGAGAGCTTGTTGATTGGTTTCAGTTCAGAGGATTGAAGAGCTGGAGGACGCACTGAAGAAGAAGGATGAAGATATGAAACAGATGGAGGAGAGATACAAGAAATACCTGGAGAAAGCCAAGAGTGTACGTCTGACACACTCTTCTGTGTGTGTGTGCTGATGTTTCTGTTGATGCTGATTTTGTGTGTGTGTGTGTGTGTGTGTGAGTGAGTGAGTGAGTGAGTGAGTGAGTGAGTGTGTGTGTGAGTGAGTGAGTGAGAGTGTGTGAGTGAGTGAGAGTGTGTGAGTGAGTGTGTGTGTAAGAGTGTGTGAGTGAGTGTGCAGATTGTGGTTAAACGAGAGCTTGTTGATTGGTTTCAGTTCAGAGGATTGAAGAGCTGGAGGACGCACTGAAGAAGAAGGATGAAGATATGAAACAGATGGAGGAGAGATACAAGAAATACCTGGAGAAAGCCAAGAGTGTACGTCTCACTCTTCTCCCTGCTTCCTGTGTGTGTGTGTGTGTGTGTGTGTGTGTGTGTGTGTGTGAGATATTAATGTTAATGCTGATGATGTCTGTGTGTGTGCGCAGGTCATTCGTACTCTGGACCCCAAACAGAATCAGGGTTCTGCTCCTGAGGTTCAGGCTCTGAAGACCCAGGTGCATGAGCGCGAGAGGATGCTGATCTCACTCCAGGTCACACACACAAACACACACACACACACACACACACACACACACACTCACTCTCTCACACACACACACT